GAACGGGGGATTTAGACTCATGAATAACAGAGGTTTCGAATGAAATGGGTTTGTGATCTGAAACAATAGCATCCCCAATTTCCAGATTCACCACAGATAAACCGTGAGACAGAACTAAATCAAGTGTATGGCACTGTTGATGAGTTGGACCAACAACATTTTGCACAAGGTTGAAAGATTGTATCAGATTTTGAAACTCCTGCACCAAAGGTATGTCAGGACAGCAAACATGTACATTAAAGTCTCCCAGAATCAAGACCCTGTCGTAATTGAGCAGTATTCCATACAGAAAGTCAGAAAATTCACTTATGAAGTTTTTGTTGTACGAGGGTGGCCTATAGATCAGGCAGCACAGTGTTGGGTTGGAGCGGCCCAGCTCAAAATACAGCAGTTCAAAACTCTGAAAAGCTACAGGCTGTAGCTGTCTGCAGTTCCAGAGCTTTTTAAAAACTGTTAATAATCCACCACCCCTACCAGAAGTCCTTGGAGCATTAAAAGAGGCACAATCCACCGGCAAAAGTTCAGAAAAAATATTTAATTCACCAGGGATGAGCCAGGTCTCTGTAACAAACATGAAGTCCAGTCCATTGGAGCAGAAAAAGTTGTTTAGGATGAAAGTTTTATTTGCCAGTGACCTCACATTCAACAGAGCAATCTTTGTAGGACAAGTAGCTGAAGGAAAAGCTGAGCACGGAGCACAGATCAGCTGTTTTAGATTTTTGGAGTTTAAAGCGCGCCTCCAAGGACCAGAGACGCCGCAGCTGTGCGTGTGCCTGCGGTGCGGGCCAGGCTCGACTACAGGGATCAGGCAGGACCCAGCAGGATCAGCAAAGCACCCGGACAGGCGAATATCCAACAGATGGTCGGCAGGAGATGATGCAGCAGACAGTCCGGAGTTGGTTAAGTTCCACTGGAGACGACCAAAACCGCCACGGCTGTGCGCATACCCGCTGCGCGCATACCCGCTGCGCGTACCAGGCCCGGCCACCTTTAGCAGGCTGGAGTTGAGCGGATCAGCGAAGCATCTGGATGGACAGTTTAACATCTGATGGTCAGCAGCAGATGACGAGGCAGCAGAGAGCTTGATGCTGGCTTTAATACTCACCAGACAGCCGGCACGTTTTCGGGCAGGCAGAAACGCAGCGTGCTGCAGGTAAACAGGGACATCAACAAGCAGAGGGGGTGGGGGTCCAGAGCCCCGATCAAAGTGGTCGAACAAGGCAGGGTTTGCAGTAGATAACTGTATATTTAAAAGTTGTTGGCGATCATAAATGAGCAATGAGTTGATGTCACCGAAGAAAAATGACAAAAACAGAAGAAAAAAAAACGATCAAAACAGACAGAGGTGAATGGTAAGCCACCAGCACCGGCGCCATCTTCCCGGAAGTCCATCATGTGCATTTTAGCTTATATTACTATCTTGAAATACTTATATACAAATTCATCCTACTTGCACCATTATTTTCTATCATGTTGTTGTTTATTATATTTCTTTTGGACCTTGTAAATATTGTAATTCATTTTCACTTTTTTTTCATCCTTATTGCATGCTTTAGTATTTCTTGTTTGTTTTTTTGTTCTTATTGAGTCAAATTGGTTCTTCGCATCCTGAACATTTCATTGCACTGTTGACCCTGTGTTAACCTGCATATGACAAATAAACAACATAACAGATGCTGATGCTATTTGCACACGCAAATACCCATAAATATAAGTAATGCAAAAAGTTTTAAAAGTATTTATAGGAAACACTTTGAAATTGTTGAGATTGGAGTCACTTTAAGCAATTCAGTTTGAACGTGGCTGGACTTGGACTGGCCATTAGCTCATCAGTTCGATTGAAGTTAAACTGAAGTCGTTCAAAGAGCTATCAACAACAGGTAAGATATTAACTGTTCATAACCTTTCTACAGAACCTTACTTTGAAAGATCACATTGTTTCTGTGTTTCACAATTATGAATAGCAGAAAACTATTTTTGGGATTGCATAAAATGTCAAACACTTTACACGGTTTAATATTTCTGAATGACATTATTTTGTATATTCATTTGACTCCCAAAGAGCTTGCACTTTGCAGCTAGGACTAAGGGAAGAGCCATTTGAGAAGCCACTGATCCACCATCAAGTCCCATCATTAGCCGGGAACATGAAGCGTTGAATGCGGTTCATCTGTTCAGCCATCTTGAAACTGGAGGAAATTTTACCCAGGAAAAGCACAATAAGGGAAGTAATAAAAGCACACCAACACACAAATGAACTAAGGAAATGTGTTACAAATTTAACACTTAATCACCAAGGTGATGTTTGATGAAGGTTGATGACATGATTGGCTTTGTAGTGTTGCCTGATGTTGCAATAGAAACAGGTGCAAACGTGCCGTAAATATCTATGCAGCAAACAGCCAAACACGCAGCAAACTGCTATCTTAAACTCACTTACATATTAGAATCATGACTAAAACTACAAAAAAAAAAAGCATTTGATAAATATTTAAAAAAAAAAGAAAGGTTGGAATAACATTTACAAATATAATTTGGATACACAAAAAACAACGGTTGATTAAGTTGAAAATATTATCAAAAATACTAATTATATATATTTTTTCATAGAACTTTAAAAACTAAGTTAATGATTTATAATCTCTGGTGGAGGACAGCTGCCAATATGATATACTGGAAAACAAACTTAATTAAATGTTGCGGTATTATGTCTTTAAACCATTTTATTATTTGGGCTAAAAGTCCTTTCACCTGGTAAACATATACACATTTCTTAATATTTTCGTCACTTTTCGACTTATGAGAAGATGAATTGATAATTGTCACATGGGTGACATAGCTACTTCCATAACTGGCCCGTATTTGGCATGAACAGATGTGACCCACATCAAACTAAACCATCACTGGCCCAGGTGTGGCATGCCTCATGTGAACCGTGCCATCATTTCCAGACCTGGCCCATGTCTGGTTGACATCCAATTTGCCGTGCCAGAAGTTTGCCGGATGCGCCAGCAGAATGCCAGATCTGGGCCAGGTCAGTCTGCTATGTGGAAATAGTTTGATAAGATTTTTTTTTGCCTCCAATTCCTACATGTGTCCAGTTTCACTACTTTTTGTCTGTCTAAACAGATATCGCTTGTAAACGAGTCTTCGAGGCTCAATATGATTTATCTGTCTAAATAAACCAAAAAAGTTCATGCTCAATAATCCAGGTATACAATCCAACAATTTTCAGTCAGATCATCTGGACAGTTTCTTTTTTTTCTCTGAAACGTTTCACCTTCCATCCAGAAGGCTTCATCAGTCAAGGAAACACACAACACAAAACTGATTCTTCCCCCAAACAGCTTACTCCAAAAACTTTCCAAAAAAAGAAACTGTCAGATGACCTGACTGAAAATTGTTGTACTGTCTAAATAAAGGTTGAATGAATGAATAATTTACTTAGAAAAGCAAAGTAAGTACTTTTCTAAGTAAATTAAGATGGTTTTATTCATAAAGAACGGCGATCCGTGTGACCCGGAAGTACACTACGAATTGTGCTTCCGTAACAGATAGGGGAGTGACACGTCTGTCACCTCACTGACTTGGACAAACAGGAAACGGGGGCGTGGAAGAGACAAACTATCTACTACCACTCGTCTTTTGCTTCATTGTGCAGAGCTGGGAGATAATCAACTAGTTTCACTCGGAAAGAAAGTCAAGCCCAAATAAGCAACGTCATGTTCAAAACAAGCCCAAAACACCGCAACCTGTGACTCCCAAGATTTGCAAGTAACTTTAGAAAAAAACAAGCCCAAAGTTGCTTATAATAAACGAACTTGGCAACTGGTTCAGGTGAGATGGCAGGAACAAGATGTGAGCTGGCACCAGGAAGTGCAGAGCAGAAAACCAGCCTGCCCACAGCTCCACCTACAACAGGAACAGGAGGAAAAATAACTAAAAGGTTTGCGGCATGCAGAATCCTTACCAAATCTGTATGTCAAGTCCACATGGATATCAAAAACTGAGTCCACGGACATTTATTTGTATGTGAGTCCATCCATCCATCCATTTTCTTTACCCGCTTATTCCTTTTTGGGTCACGGGGGTCGCTGGTGCCCATGTCCAGCAATCACTGTGCGAGGGGCGGGGTACACCCTGGACGGGTCGCAAGTCCATCACAGGGCCACATAGAGACAAACGAGACAAACAAACATTCACTCTCTCACTCACACCTAGGGACAATTTAGAGTTACCAATCAGCCTAACATGCATGTTTTTGGACTGTGGGAGGAAACCGGAGTACCCGGAGAAAACCCACGCATGCACGGAGAGAACATGCAAACTCCACCCAGAAAGGCCCCTGGACCGGGGTTTGAACCAGGGACCTGCTCGCTGAGAGGCAGCAGCTCTACCAGTTGCGCCACCGTGCTGCCCTTGTATGTGAGTGAGATGGGAAAATAAAAGGAATTTGAGGCTTCGAAATAATTCATAATGAAGAAGCGTGTGTCATAAGTGTCATTGGTGGCACCCATCTTGTCATCTGCTGAATTCTCACCCAGCGCTGTGGCTCCTGTGGCAGGTGGTTGATGTTTCGCAGGTCATGAACTTCAGCACAGATGCTAATAGAGGAGTGAAAGCAGCTTTTGCTTCTCCCTGCCTGCCTGAGTGACACTGATCTTGCAGCGGAGAGACAGACTCGTCCCTCGGAGAGCACATGTACAGAGCAAGGCTACATTTTCCTTTTATCGCTGTGTGAAAAGGTCACCTCTTACCTCTTACACTCAAAGAGCAACAAATCTCACTAGCTACAGGAAAATGGTTGTTATATTAACTAACAACTGGCAAACCTTTGTGATCCTTAACATGTCCATTTAGCCAAGAAGTTGAGGCGTAAGTTCCTTATTTTTCGTATCTTGTCAGTGGGGGAGGGTTTAAGCAGAAATTCCCTCTTTCTACTTTCAGTACTCGCCAGCTGCTGTTCAGTGAAACAGGTTTTTAATTGTGGTAGAATAAACATCTTTATTCAGTTTGATAAATGGATCAAAGTTGAACTCGTTGCATACAGAAGAATGTGGATGCAGGATGAGGACAGTGCAGCTGCAGGTAAGGCTCGATTATCAAGAAGTTTGAAAAAGGAGTCTCATTTCCTCCAGTTTTGACTTGTGGGTGTAAAATAAAAGATGTTTAGTTATGGTGCTAATCACCTTAAAAAGAAGAACGCAAAATAAAATGACCTTCATATTTAAAATGCTTCAATTTTATGTTCTTGTGCTTCTTCTCTTCTTTATTTATGTTGATTATACCAACTAATTTCAAACGTTCAACCGTATCAAAATCAGAAACCTGATGACTTTAGTTTAGTTTGGCATGAAAAAGGCCAAAGTTAAAAATATTTTCATTTGATCATATCTACACAGATTCCCTCTTTAATGTATTTTACAAAAGATGCATAAAATGTGAAATAAATATTGTAAAGTATCTTGTTTGAAGTTTTCTAGCTAACTTTAGCTAACAGTTTCTGTAGTAAAAACTAGCCCCCCCATTAACTAGTGCACGTGATTATGACTGAAGTATAAACGCACTTCTTCTTTTCCGGGTCGCGGCGAGTCGATGAGGCTCATGTCCAGCAGTGACTGTGCGAGAGGCGGGGAACACCATGGAGATGTTACAAGTCTATGAAGATACATCGGTCTCAAAAGTACCGTAATTTCCAGACTATTGAGTGCACCTGAATATAAGCCGTGCCCACTAAATTCAAAAATAATGTTTTTTTGTACATATACAATATAATCCACACTTGTGTATAAGCCGCAGGTGTCCACGTTGTAACATGAGATATTTACAGAGAGATTAAAAAAAACCTTTTAATTAAATACATACAAGTGATACATAAATACATACAGTATTTCTTTTTCTTGAACAGTGCCTGTAATAGCTGGTTAATTTTTTTTTCTTGCTAGCTCTCTAACGAGGCGCATACATTTCTTCCCTCTCCCTGTTCTCCTCCTGCTTTTTTTGCTCTCTGTCTGTGTATCAGAGCAGCTCCTATTTTTACACATCTTTCGAAATGAAAACTACTGTTTTGGATCTGACCAACTGGACTTTTGATGCAAATGATAAAATCATTTCAACAAAGAGAGAGGGTCCTGGAGAACTCTCATCTGCTCGGATGACACGCATACAGCTGGATATATCTCTGGGAAAGAGTAATGTGTTGTGTCTACCTCTGCTATCAAACGAGGATGCCGAAATTGCATATACTTGGAGTTATGATAACAGGTTTACTGTTTTGGAATAGTCTGGATCCTGGTTTATCAACATAAAAAGAAGATGGTCGCAGCTAATTTGGCTCTCGTCAGGCTGCTGCCTATGTGAAGATTGGTCCGTGCTTTGAGGACCCAAAATCAGCTGATTTACGAGCTAAACAGTAAGATGGAAGTGATTTGAATCGCAGGCCCCCTATGGCTTTGGGACTCATCAGCATGAAAACAACCTTGAAGAGGCTCGTAAGCACGGACCAGTAGAATGCACCCTAATCTGGCCATTTCGGACCTTGGATGTATCAGCACAGACTCAAAGGCTGACAAGGAAAAAAACAGCCTGCCTGAATAAGTCAACAATTGTGGTTTAGCTGAAACTGACTCCCCGGTTGCCCTTGAAACAGGTCGACAACAATTTCTCCTGGGAATTAAGGAAAACCTTCGTCTATCGTAATCTCCCCCCCCCCCCATCCACTTCTGTGGAGGCTTATCAGAACTGTGCCAGCTGACCATCATCTCAACTTATCAGGACTTATCAACTTATCAGTGCTTCATGGACCGCCTTGTCGTAAATGCACATGTAACATGTTCATAAATGTGCTTGCTGGCAGAGTTTTTTTGATGTCTTAAATCGTGTCCTGTTAGGACAAGGTGTGAGAGATCTTTTTTTTTTATAATGCCACTATCCTCTCCTCGTGGCTTTGTCCCTTTTTTTTCCTATTTAAAAAATGTATTCTGAAAAGGATAAGAAGGCCGTGCTTATAGCAGCAGCTTCGTGCACTCCGCCCATCTTTCGGACGACTGTACGTACATATTATCGTTGTATTTCGGTGCAATGGTAATAAATCTTATTCTAATTCTGATTCTGAAATACAGTAGCCTACCAGGAAGTCATTGATCGCTATCTTCACGGATGGAGGACAGTGTTGTCCTCTTCATCACGCATCACCCTCTTCAAAATTTGTTGGCGATGGAGGACTTTTTTACACTGCTCCACTGTCAGTATCCACTGGCAGGGAGGGAGGGGAGGAGAGAACAGGGAGGGGGAGGAAACCATGTTGCTCCCCTCCCCAGCGGACCTATGAAACCGGTCCACTGTGACCTGCTCGGTAATTTCATTGGCCAGATTGTTTTAAAAACTTTATTTATACAGGTAGTCTCATTGAGTCACAAGGACGCAACCCCAAAAAAAGACGTGTATTGGGCATCTATGTGAGTGCACGTGTGTGATGAGGCTAAATGTTTTGGCAGCGTGAGGCTCGTTAACTTTAAAAAAAAAAAAAAATCATAAATTAGCTGTAGCATTGTATAAGCCGAGAGGTTCAAAACGTATGACAAAAGTAGCGGCTTATAGTCCAGAAATTACGGTAGTCACACAAGCATGAGATTTGTATATGTCCAATAAAATTCACAAGTGCACTACAAGCTTTACAAATGCATTAACAGTTTTTCTAATGTGCACATTTCAATTTGAACAAGTAGGAATATTCTGCACATTTGAAAAACTGTGTATGCATTTGTAAAACCTGTGGTACGCTTGTCTTATTGCACACATACAAATTCACTCTCTCACTCACACCCAGGGACAATTTAGTTACCAGTCAGTCGAACATGCATGTTTTTGGTCTGTGGGTGGAAATCAGAGTACCAGGATAAAACCCACGCATGCACAGAGAGAACATGCAAACTACTCCCAGACAGGTTCCCAGCCGGGATTTGAACCAACAACCTTCTCACTGAGAGGCAACAGCTCTTCTAACTGCAACACAAAGTATAAAACTTATTTGTTGTGTAAGTGTGCCTCTTTGCTGACCATACAAAGGGAGAGAGGATGACAAGGTCAAAGGTAAAAATACATTTTCCTTTAAATTAGGACATTGATATGTAATGAAGATATTTTACATAAAGAAAAGAAAGAAAGACTACAAAATTAAATACATAAACAAACAGAACAAGAAAGACATGAAAAGAAAGTTTTAATAAAGCAGCTTCAGTTCACGTTTATCCCAATGATTTGCAAAATGTGGAAGCTATTGTTGTTAGGATTTTCTGTGCACTGCAGGGAAACATGGGAAGACGTGCAGGGAGAGTGAAACGATGAAATGTCAGAGCAAAGAAGGAGTAAAGGTAAACGTCAGGCTAAGGTTAAAATCCCGGAGCAACTGCCACAACACAGATCTTTACACTGACAGCATTTATTCATTTTTTCTCCCATAACAACTTCAGCAAAACCCTCCATCTACACATTTATCCTTTTTTGTTAATATTCACAACCTGCACTTGTTGCACAACAGAACCATCTGTTTCAGTTTCAGCAGTGGTTGCTCAGATCAAAACATTTAACATACAGTCATATTTTACATTAAAAGTATTTTTTTATAAGATATGATTAATACTGTGGTCCATCATTCACAAATCACTTGAAACGTTTAATATCTAAATAGATTGTCCTGCTGTTTTAACTGCCTGCTGTCCAAAAGCAAAAGATGGACAATCATGTATCTGCGTGTTTGTTTGTAGGGTTATCCAAATATCTCATGAACCATAAGTCAGATTTTATTGATGCTTTCAGAAAGTAATCATTAGATGCAAATCTACAATTCAATAAATAGCTTTTGAAGTCTGCCTCAGTTAAGATGGCTGCTCCAGCAAACTGACCAACTTAAAAGTGTCTGTAACTTAGTCAGTTTTACAGACATTGAGCTAAAATGTGTTAGTTGTTGAAAATCATCTATAACACAGTCTAACAAACCACACACATTCTGGCAACATAAGATAAGATTGCACAAAATGTGTTGAATATTTGACCAAAATAGTTTCAATTCTATCATTTATCAACATAGGGTGATCTAAGTTTAGGATTTAAGCCATAAAAATGCTACACAATTGGTTATTTTTGGATTTGAATATATTGTCATCACATTTACGTATTTCATATCAAAATGACTATTGATTTCAGAGGAACAAAGCTCTCAGACTCTGTGCAGAACAAATCTGCAGTAAATGTCTGACTTTCTGTAGGCCCTGATTTAAAACGAGTCAGTTGACACAGAAAGTGAAACCTGGATCCTTCTGTAATTTGACTTCCTTCATTTTTCTGACCCAAACGCTTCTGGAAGTTCCTCTCGCAGTCACGTTAATGGGATGTGAGACTGTCCGGCTGTCTTAGCTTCAGCTGAACGTCAAACCACACGTGTTTGCAGAGACCACAACCTATAGTTCTGTTCTGTGTGAATAAAACGGTTGGCTTCTGTCCACAGAGTCTGATGGAGAAAGCTGCTTGTCTTCTGAAGACTGGGCAGACATCCAGGTAAGGCTGTTACACCTCAGGGAAAACCTGAATCTTCGTCAAGACTTTTCCTCAATTTTGGGGAAACAAATGCTAAAACGCCAATAAAAAAATACACTAGACAAAAAAAAAGTTAAGACACCAGAAATAAAATGATCATATTAAGATGTAAACATTTGATTAGCAAGGTGCTGGCACATTTAGGAAAAAGCATAAAAAATGCTGGGATCCCTAGTGGAGCAATAGTGTTATCAGGCAGTTGCCAGAGGATCTATGAGTCAGTGAAAACATTGAAGGAATGTCACCAAACACAAAGGGGACCCAATGAACGGATTAATAAACAGTACTTGCACTTGACAGTTTGATATGGATCACATTGTGGGTTTGCTTAAGATGGTGGTCGTATCGTTGCTCGACATGTGGGAAGTAAAGGATCTCAGGGTACATGAGGGTACCATGCATTCAGTAATGGTCAACCAAAATAGACCATTATGTTGTGTGCCAGGCATTACTTTGCCTACCATCCAAACACAGGTGTTGGATTACTTGTGGAGCTACGCCAGTGAAATTCTGTGACCATATATCTTGATTCTCCAGTGGAAGTACCCTTTACAGTTTTTCAACAAGACAACACTCTACAATTGGTCAGACAGCACAGTTTATGGACTGGAAAGAGGTCCTCCCTAGTCAGTCAAGTCTTGGATCTTTCCTCGACCATGTGTGGGATCTGCTCAGATCTGCTGGGCCAGCCACAACAGATGTGCTACGAGAGCAGATAAAACATCTGTATGACTTCTTTCATGCATTAAACTGTGTCAGGTATGCTGGTTCCACACACAAGCTCTTTCACAAGACAACTCTATCTGGGACTTTGCACCTTCTGAATGAACTGATGTGGTGAGGGGGGTTGAAGCCAGATTGCACCTGATGCACCTCTGTCCAAAGTGAGGTAGTAACAGACGTGAAACAGCCGACATGTGAAAAAGTAAGCCGGTGCCACGGCTCCTTAATAAGATGAAGTGATGACATCTGGCCTGTGTGACAAGCCGGTCGCTGATCGAACCACAACAAACAGATTTATTACCAAGGGAATATTAACAATAAAGCACAATAACATTGCATCTACTTTTAAAAACGAGTAAAATACAAGGAGAATTACTAAACTAAGTTATTTTATCATGTTATTTCTAAGTAATACGAGGCAGACGTCTGTCGCACATAAAAGGTGTTGTGCTTCACGTCAGCCCGGCTGAGTTCTGCTCCACGCCTCCTTTAGTTCTGGAATTGTTTAATAAAATAGCTTATCCAGACATGGAACCAGCAGTGTTTGTTCTACCTGTTAATCATTTGATCTATTTTTTAATCACTGGATTGCAGTCACATTACACGTGTAGTTTAATGTTGTTTTCACAACCTTGTCTTTGTGCAGAACATTTCCTGTAGCTGAGTCAAGACAGAACAAGGTCTCGATTACTTGTAGGAGAAAAAGTCATTTTGGTGCCTCAGTTTTCTGAGAATGGTTGAAAGTGTGAGTAAAATAATCTGTATCTATTTGATCTTTCAAGTCTGATGCATTTTCTCTGTTTTGTTGTGTTCATTGTTAGTGTGAGATCTTGGAACAGCAGAGGGATGAGGCCAATCAGAAACTCAATGAGCTGGAGGAAGGTGAGAATTTTAGGATTTTTAACATGCTTTCAAGAACAGATTGATTTAATACTGCAGATCAAATGGAAAGTGTATGACAAAAACAAACAAAAATACTAAAAAATAGACTTCCAGCAACAAAAACAACCAAATAAATAATCATTATCAAAGTCCATGCTCAACAATCCAGGTATACAATCCAACAATTTTCAGTCAGGTCATCTAGAATTTTTTTTTTATTTGTGCTGAAACATTTCACCTTCCATCCAGAAGGCTTCATCAGTCAAGGAAACACACAACACAAAACTGATTCTTCCCCAAACAGCTTATTCCAAAGTGGAACAAACCAGGTCTGATGAAGCCTTCTGGATGGAAGGTGAAACGTTTCAGCACAAATAAAAAGAAACTGTCCAGATGACCTGATTAAAAATTGTTGGATTGTAAACCTGGGTTATTGAGCATGGACTTTGTTGGTTTTGAACCAGTTTGACAAGACTGTCGATTAGGGAGAAAGCCGGCACCGGAGGAGGGGGTGTGCCAAAAAGACCATCTTAGCACCAACATAACTGGTTTGTTCCACTTTGGAGTAAGCTGTTGGGGAGGAATCAGTTTTGTGTTGTGTGTTTCCTTGACTGATGAAGCCTTCTGGATGGAAGGTGAAACGTTGCAGCACAAAAAAAGAAACTGTCCAGATGACATACTCATGTTCATGTTTGTGCTGATGTTCAATGTTTTTATGTTATGAGTGCTTAGTGTATATTTAGTTGATTTTTTCTTGGTTCATATCTTGGATGTTATTACTGTTTTTCTTAGACATTTTATTGTTGGATGTAACTGGGACCCCGTGTACATAATTTCACTCCACCACATGTACCACATGAGGTGCGAATGACAATAAAGAAACTCTGACTCTGACTCTCTGACTCTGACCTGACTAAAAATTGTTGGAGTCATTAGATATGTTTAAAAAACAGTTACAAACAGAACAACAATGTTCGATGAGACACGAAAACTACACAGACAATATCTGAGATAACACAACAAGACCTGATACAAAGTAGGAAAAAACACAAGAAAACAAATAAAAATAAGCATAAATAAGTCATTTTCTGAAGCAGTGAAGCCAAAAATACAATATTAGAAACAAAATGAAAAAAAAAAACATCACAGCAAAGTTTCTGACAACAACAAAAAATAAGCCAAACAATCTAAAAATACAAAATTAAAAACACTTTTGAGAAATATACAAAACAATGTAACCAAAAAGACAAAAGTTTACAAAATGTAGTAAACGAAAAACAATGTTTACAATATCTTTAAAAACACAACAGAGGGAACAAAAAAACGTTTTGTTAATTTTCTTGTTGAGTTCCTAAATATTTCAGTTTATAAAGGGATTAAAGTGTTTCTTGAAAAGTGACTGTAATTTTGTGAACACAGTTACTTTATTTTTGCTGTTCTTGATTAGTTGTTGGTGTTACTGAAATGCTGTATTTTTCTCTTTATATTTTCCTAAATGTTGTGTTTTGTTGAAAATAAAAAGTAATCTTAAGAAAATTAGTCAAACAGAAAGTAGAAAAGTTGACAGAGGAACAGAGGTCAGATGTGTCACTTTATGATGTTCAAGAATCTTTTTTATCCCAGAGGAACAGTTTGTTTCACAGTCAGTAGGCACACAGAACGTTCATACTAGACAAGACATTGAGACGTTAAAATAAGAGTACATGAAGTCATCACTGTTCATAGAGAAGCCTGATCTCTACAGGGATGAATGAGTTTTCCAGTCTGTTCATCCTACATCTGGGCTGCAGATACCTGTGTCCAGATGGAAGCAACCTGAACTCACCATGGAGTGGTGATCAGGATTTGCCAGAATCAGTCTGGTCTTGTTCACTGACCTCACCTTGTGTAGGTCCGTGAGGTTCTGTAGAGCTATGCCAGCAGTTTTACTGCACATCCTGACAATCCCCGAGTTTGTTTTTGTTGTTGCATGTCAAAAAGTCCAAACCAACAGATGAATGTAAAAGCTAAAAGAGACAAAACATGAATAAAATATTCTCATAAAAGTAGCATCAACGTTAAAACCACAGAGCTGTGATAAAAATACATTCTCTGGTGGACCATCAAAGGTCAGTTTGTCATGAAGAACAGTTTCCAGATATTTATACTGATGTACCACCTCATCAGCGTCACCGTTAATGACCACAGGAGTGGCAACTGAATTAGTCTTTTCTAAAAACAGCGACCATCTCCTTTGTCTTAGAAACATTTAACTTTAAAAAGAAGACTCACACCATTCAGTGAAGTCCCCGACCACAGGCCCAGGGTCTGGGTCATCACGGCTGAGAAGGAACAGGATGACAGAGTCATCAGCAAACTTTAAGATGTGATGCTGTGGGAACTGGATACAACAATCATTTATATATAAAATAAACAACAAGGTCGAAAGAACACAGCCCTGAGGGGAACCAGTAGAGGACAGAAGGACATCACAGAGAACCCCGTTGAGTCGACCATCACCCGCTGAGACCAAACACCTAAACAGTCCACAAGTCCACATATGAGGCCAGAGTCGAGACCATTAAAGCATTGTAATGCTGATGTGTTTGAATAATGAAGGTTCTTCTGCTTGTTTTGTTTAATACTTACATTCATGACTTTTATTAACTGTTTCTTTTCCATGAACAGCTTCCAGTCAGCTCCTGAAGGAGATCAGTGTTCTGGAGATGCAGTTTCAGATTGAGCGCTCCTGCAGGGAGAGTGCTGAAGCACTGGCTCTCAAAGTACGACTTTTTACCATCTCTTTTTGATCATACATTTTTTTCCCCATCACTGCTGGGCAGAGAAGGGAATTTATGAAACTCAATTTATTCTTAAAGGAAGATAACTCTTCACATTTACCCACCATCTCCTCTGTTGCACAGGTTAGCAATGAGAACAAAGTCCTGAAAAGGAAGAGCCAGATGCTGATGCCGCTGATCCCAGAGCTGCCAGATAACCTGGTTTCATTCCCCCTCGATGCAGAGGCTGACCTCGCAGCTGATGTTGATGTGGTTGACTTTGGCAGCTGCAACAATGACGACACGTTGCTGCTCGAGAGTCAAGCTAAAATCACAGGTTAGCCACACATGATTCAATATTTAAAATGACATTTTTGCTCTTCCAGATTTTTATGTCACTGAAAATATATTGACGTTTCAAGGGGTACAGCCATAGAAAAGTCTTGTTAAAGGCCAACAAGTACTTGTTGAACAAGTACTTCCTAAAACTAATTTAGGCTTCAGTTAGCATTTAAGCTCATCGAAGGTCAACTGTTCAGGTACATAGTGTATATTGGAGCAGAAAATTTATTCTTTTAAGATGTAGTTCTATTCATAGTTAGTCCAGTACTCAATTATAGTAACTGAAGGTGGTTTTAGGACTTTACTAGCTTGGATTAAGTCATTCGCGAAGACATCGGCAGCAGTTTCGGCCATGACAAAGCTTCCAAGTCAGTATGAATGTTTGGTTTGTGCTATGAGTACTCAAAATCAGCTGATTAATGAGCTAAACCATAAGATGGAGGCGATTTCTGAGAATCGCAGGCCACCTGCGGCTTCTGGGACTTGTCAGCATGGTGGGAATGACCTTGAAGGAGGTTCATAACATGGATCAGTGGTATGGATTCCCTTAAATCAGGCCATTTTGAACCAGAAAGCTCCAGTAGGACTCAAAGCTGACGAAGTAAAACCGTCTGCCTGAAGAAAATCAACAATCGAAGCTTATCTGAATCTGACTCCCCTGTTTGGCCTCGGATACAAGCCATCTATCAAATTTCTCCTGGGTCATGGGTAACTAGAGACAAAAGCTTCATCTATCCCCCC